AGGATTACACCTCAGGCGTGTATGCCAGCCCTGAGCTGTGTCTGGAGGGGGCAAGGTGAAGTAGGGAGAAGAGGAAGCTCTCTGCACACACTTACTGGACCTGGGCTAGGACTGGGTTCGGGGCTCCGGGACAGGGCAAAAATTCCTACTTGGTGGGTGGGGTGGGGGAGGCACTGCAGAGTGGTGGGGGGCGACCCAAGGGGCTGGGAGACAGTCTGGCCCACGCTGCACCTGGGCTGGGACTGGTCCCGCCGGCACAGGATAGCAGGAAGCTCTCCACACCCTCACTGGACCTGGGCTAGGACTGGGTCTGGGGGTTCCCAGAACTCGGCAGAAAATCCTATTTGGCGGGTGGGGTGGGGGAGGCACTGCGGAGTGGTGGGGGGCGGCCCAAGTTGCTGGGAGAGGGTCCGGCCCACGCTACGCCTGGGCTGGGACTGGTCCCGCTGGCGCAGGGTAGCAGGAAGCTCTCCGCACACTCACCGGACCTGGGCTAGGACTCTATAATTGATTTATTTTTATATGTTCCCTTTGCTCCAAAACTTTGTTAATTTTGTTATAGAATTTAAATTGCATATTCCTTTGGATTTTCTATGTACACTAATTTTAACTGTAAATGATATATTTTAAAATATTATACATTCTTTCTTAGTAATATCTTTTACTCATATTTATTCTTCATTACATTACCTAGAACTTTTAGTATAATGTCGAATGAATTTTTATGAGAGTGAACATTCTTGTCATGTTTCTCTCCTTGGGGAAAACCAAGCATACATTTTCCACCTGTGGTGAATTGACTAATGATCGACTTGTAACACTGAGCTGAACTGAATCAGTGTGGTTCCGGGTGCCAAAGGCACCCCTGAGGATTGTTGCCAATATCATAAAAGGAGAACTGGAAGGGAATATGGCATGCTATTAATTCTCCTGGAGAACCTTGTCACACTGATTTTCCTGTTATGAACTCAACTATTCTCATCACTGGAAGAGCTCAGGTTCTCGCTGTCTCTGAGAATGACTGTGGTTCTCTTCAAGGGAGCCCTGGTCCTTACCTTGAGCATTGATTGGTTCCTGGCTCCAGTACAGATCCCTCAGCCTGCTGGTATAGACCCTTCATCCCACTGGCACAGACTTTCTAGCTTCCACCACTGACCTATGGGTCTCCCTAATCCAGGTCCTTGATACAAACTTGGATGAAACACTGTTGTGAGCTCGTGAGCTCCAGTTGGACTCATGAAGGACATTACCATGGGCTCTAGGTCTTCAGCTGGACTCATGAAGGACATTGCTGGGGGATCAAGAGCCTCAGCTGGATTCTTTGTGTATTATAAAATAATCCTATAAGTTATGCATCTTGTATTAAATCTACTGTTTTGCAAACCCTGACTACACCACCTAACTGAATAATGTATTTGTTCAGAATTCTAATTAACTGCATATAATAGAAACATTTACTTTTTTAAAGTTGCACAAACAAATTAAGCAATTTTCCTCATATATCAAGATTTCTGGGCTAGTCAAAAAGCTCAGCGGATTAAAGCACCTGCAACAGGGATTCGATCCCTGGGCCTGCCATGCCAGCCCCACCCCTGGGGCATGCTGAGATGGCAATTGAGACTGAGTATGGTGGCACATGCCTGTGATCCCAGCTCTTGGAAGGCTGTAAACAGGTAGATCACCTCAAGTCCAATCTAGTAGTGAGAACCTGAACACACTGTAGACCCTTCCCTAAAATTAAAAAAAAAGACTTTGGCAGGTAGGTAGCCCAGACATGATACATCACTCTACTGTGTTATTCAGAACTCAACCTTTTTTGTTTTCCTACTCAGTTATCTGAGGGTTGTCCCTTCATTGTCACACATAACAACTGTGCTACCTTAGATACCAATTTTGTAATTAATGAAAACTAACAGAGAAGGCAAAGTACAGCAAGTTCTGAATTAGCTTTTGTAGAGGATTAATTTTCTATCTTTAAAACATCTTTCTTGTTTCGTTACATCTAATACTATATATAGTTCTTTGACAAGCACAACAGGAATTTGTGCCCTTAGGTGATTTGGTTATTATGTGAACATCACAGTATACACTTTATGAACCTAGATGGTGCAGATCAATCAGCAAATGTTGTCTTTTGTTTCCCTCAAGAGCTATCATAAACACAGCTGTATAAGACTGCTGCTGGCATAACACAGCACATTGCTTTACAATAAATTCTTTTATAAGCAGTACACTTGAAAGTAATATAAAAAGTACAGCATTAAAAAGACATTAGACAGTAAGTTTCTAACATCATTAAAACCTTTAATGTTTGGTACTGCAATATTATAACTGCTATATGACTGGATTGGAAGAAGTTTTAAACTGGATTATAATCCTCTTGCACTAGTACACCTAATATGTAAATGACAAATGTGGTTATGTAGCACAGAGGTGCTTACATGTTACTGGGTAAACTGTTTTACATTCACGCTTATCTACCAAAGAAGCTGGGAGAATACAGTGGTTGATATTGTTTGGAGGCAAATGTAGTTTCCTAGCACAGGATCTAAAAATCCAATTTCTGTTAGTAAAGGTAAAGAAAAGTGTTGAATCAGCATCTAGGTGTCTGCATAATGAATGAAACTTTGTATTTTGCAAGACTGCTGATCTGCGAGTTAAGAATTCTGGAGGAAGACTGCTTGGTGGTAAAATTTATAAATGATCTACAAGAAGGCTTTAAACTCTGAGATAAAACCAAATTTGAAAATCTGAGACCAGGGATTTTTGGTGCTTACAAAATAAAATGACATTTTGACACACTGTTTAATAACATTAGGAACACGTCATTTATTTGTAAATGAAATCAAAGTCTATTGCCTAAACTTAAGTATCTTAATGATATCTTAATATATACGGATCTCCTGTTCAACTGAAATATGTTATTTTTTTCTATTAATTACAAAAATGGGTAAAAAATTCATATTAAAAAATTATTGATATTACATAAAGTTTAAAATTGTGAACAACTCTTAATCTTATGACTTAAAACAACACTGAGATTCCATCCTAGAAATAATGGTTATCATCAACAAATCAACCAATACCAAATGCTGGAGGGGATGTGGGGAAAAAGGAACACTTCTCCACTGTTGGTGGGAGAATAGACTGTAGAACAACTCGGAAACCACTGTAGAAATCATTATGGAGACTCCATAAAAAACTAGAATTAGAGGTCCCATTCAACCCAGCTATTCCCCTTCTGGGTAATAATTCTTGTTTGCCAGAAGAATTAAAAACATCATACCACAGCAACATATGCGTACCCATGTTTACAGAAGCACAATTTGTAATAGCTAAATCTTGGAAACAATCCAACTGCCCATAAACTGCAGAATGGATAAAAGAGATGCAATATTTTATATAATAGAGTACTATTTAGATATAAAGAAGGATAAATTTGAGTTTTTGGGGGTAAATGGATGTAACTTGAGACCATACTCATAAATGAAATAAATCAGACTCGCGTGTGTAAACACTGTATTTTCTGTTAGTGTGAGATGCTGAAAGAATAAAATGCAAAATATACAATAGATAGTGGAAAATATGAAGAAACAGTGAAAGAGAAAGAGAAATTAGGATGAGGCAAAGGAGAAAAGGAAGGGAAAAGTTATATATCAAAAAAGTTAAGATAGTTAAACTAAATGTTTTAGTTCATTGAAAAGAAAGGTTTTTGTTTATATTATTTAAATATTTATTTATTTATTCATTCATTCACTTATTTGGTACAGGGTAGCTACACAGCTCAGACTCATAGTGATCCTCCTGACTCAGCCTCCCCAGTGCTGGGATTACAGGTGTGCACCATCAACCTGGTTTCAGGGCCAGCACGGCACACCCAGGACCCACAGGGCATGCAGTACCAGAGATTGAACTGGGGTTCTTGCACTACCAGGCAGATGCTTGGACCACTGATCTATCTCCCCAGCCCCTGTGCTTATATTGTTTAATCAATTTTCCATTCCTATATCTTATAATCTCAGCACCTACTTTGAAGATAACAATAAGCAATGTATTAACCATTGTTACTCTCCTATCTTGTTTTGAATTTTTCTGTCATTGTTTCTATTGCTTTCTCTCTTTAAGGTTAAAAAAATGATTTCATAATCTTATGCTAGCTGAACTTTAAAGAAATGTGGAAACCATAATGACTTTGGCTGACAATGTAGGGATATTTGAATTTTGAGGTAATAGTGTTACAAAGCAGAAAATAAAGCACATGACACCATGGCTTCTAGACTAAGTAACTGCAAAAAATTGTAACTTTACTTTCTATTTTCTTATTAATCTCACAATTTTCCAGAGAGATATGTACTGTTTTCCATGGCCTCTAAAGATATTTGCTGTTCAAAAACTTAGTAGTTTGCCTTAAAAGAGATTAAACTTAATGGTTTACATTAAAAGGTACAGAGGAAAATTTATTGACATTGTTATCCATTACATTCCTATAAAGCAGATTTTTCTGTTAGCCATAGATCTGATTCTGGTTGTTTCCATTCTTCTCCAAGCAGCATGTTAAAGCTGAAGGGCTTGAAATATTCTAGACGATGACTAAAAGAAGAAAAAGAATGGCAGGAATTGAAATGAATTATACATATGTGAAATAGTGGTTCTGAATATTTTGTCACATCAGAGATAGAACAACATTGTATTTTAAGAAATCCCAAAGGTGAGAAGTATTGTATATTTGCAATTTTCTCACTGTAGCTATTGCACATACAGATTTGAAAACATTTACCCACATCTTTAAGCCTTTTCAAGTCCCAAATAGCTTCATCGTAGCTAAAGGAAAAATAAAAATTAATCCTCATTCCATCTAGTTTAAAGAAATCACATAATACTATAGTTATATGTTTTATATTCAAATGTTGACATAATTTATATCAGTCATAAGAAATTGTCTTAAAAGTTTCAGGTCCTTGTTATAATACAGACTTACTCCCCTTCTTAATTAAAGCAAGGGAATAATCCACTGGGCCCAGTGGTACATGATTACAATCCCATCTACCTGAGAAGCTGAAGCAGGAGGATCCAAGATTGAGGCCAGCAAGGTCAATTTAGTGAGCCCTAGTTTCAAAATTTTAAGAAACCAGAGGCCTAGGAAATTTAGCAACTTAATGAGATCCTCCTTCAAAACAACAGATTAAAAAGGACTGGGGAAGTAACCAGTGTCAAGATTCTGGGTTTAATCACCAAGACCAAAATGTAAACTAATTTCTGACACTGCCAGTCAAGCAGAAGACCCAGTACTATTATGGACTACTGGACTCTTTTAGACTATTTTGCTGAGTTAACACATCTATAATATTCAAATAATACTAACAGAAAGTAGCTGTATATTTATCCTTAACTATTTTGTATGTACATAAATATTTTTTCACTACAAAATGGTCCTTTATTTGTATCCCCCTTTTTTGTTTACTTTTGTCCTTTTTTTACTTAAGAGACAGGTCTCACTGTATAGCCCAAGCTGGTTTCCAACTCATGGCAATCCTCCTGCCTCAGCCTCCTGAGTGCTGGGATTACAGGTGAATGTTAATACTCCTGGCTTTTGGCCCCCATTTCTGTCTTGAGCTGTCTTCCCTATTCCAGTATAACCCAACCCCTGATTCAAAACCATTTTCACTTTGTCCCTCAATTCACTCCTTGGAATTAACACCCAGGGTTCTTCCCCCCTCCCCCTGGGAGGTACAGAATATAACTCAACCTTTGACCCTTTGAAGTTCTGGCACTTCTGGCAACAACCCCCACCCTCAACCTACCCCTATCCCTACTTCTACAATCTTGTCTGAACTTTGAGATGCCCCAGATAAGACTGTAAAATAGGTACTTGCAGTTATTTGGGAGCATATATATACTAAAAGTTGTTTATCTGAATTTCAAGTTTAATTGTGTATCTTCTATGTTTATTTGTGAGATTTTGCAACTTTGGATCCAGGTCTCTATCAAGAAGATTTCAGGAAAATTTTGGAGAAAATACAGTATATTTATTTTTTTAAAAAAATATTCAAATGATGGAACTAAACAAAAAAGGGGATACAGATGAATGTCCATTTTGTATATGTGTATTCAGAATGGTTAGGATAGATATATAGTTACATTCTCTTAATGAATAGAGGGATTTGTTCTAATAGTGTTTGTAAATAGGATATCATGTCCGCATCTTCTACAGCAAATAACCTCTAGGAAGAGAGTATGCAATGTGTTAATTATTGGAACTGTCCTACCAATTTGATTTAAAACTGTCTCATTGCTATTTCTCAATAAAATTATGGGGGAAAAAAGTAAATTAAATTATTGAAGAAAAGAGCTGTGAGTTATTCAAATGTGAGGTCCTGGGTTCAATCCCTGGTATCTCAAGGAAAAAATGGCAATTTTCGTTCTTTCCTTTTCAGAAAACCCTGCTAATAGAACTTTCTCTTATAGCATGAGGAGAAAGCCTAGCTAATATGCTGCAATGAAATCCTGCTTCAAGGAAATCACTCTTCTCCAATTGTGCCCTGACCAGTGAATAGTTACACTTTTACATGGAGTAAGCCTCCATAAGTAATGAAAAGTATTAGCTGGTGAAGAGCCAGAGAGACATAACCACTTAGTTTAAAGGCTGAGTCACTTGCAATTAGATTTCTTCTTATAGTGCCCAGGATGAGCTACTGTTAGAATTACATCAATCCCAGAATAAGGTAAGGAAACAACAGAAAAACAGAGAAAGAGCAAGAGAAGAGATTAGGTAGAGAGGGTCAGACTGGGGGGAAAAAAGCACAGGTAAGAGGTAAAAGAGTGTGAGACAAAATGAAGAAATACACTAGAAGAACAAAAGGCAAAGTACAGTAAAATAAGAACCTAACAGGAAGAAGGCAAACAGTGAGGAGGGTCAGTGTGGCATATCCTAAGGTAAAAAAGTAGGGCTGTTAGTATTACAGTCCATTAGGATGTCTCTGTTACGCTGTTCTAAACACTCAGACTCACCAGACTGGCCACACTGATTACACTAAGAGTTAAAGTAGGAACCACGGATTGCCCAGGTCATTGTGTGGCTTTCCTCTCTGAGGGACTGGTCCTTTCCAGCAGCCCATGAATACTCATAAAGCTAGTCAGGTGCTCTAATCTCACTAGGTGACTACCTCAAGGACAAGGACACAAGATTCAAACAGGAAAAGAGCTGAAGGTGCCTGCCTTAAATACCTGCTGCCTCAAGGGTCCTAAATCTCTTACTGTAACTCCAGGGTCCCCACAGGAGACATGATTGTCAAAAAGAAACACTAAAGCCACATCTCTGTCATACATTTATAGTCACTCATAATTACTCTCAGCCCAATGTAATTTGCCAGCCTGGGGCCATTTTTATCTAAGAAATGTTGCCTAGTATTACAGTTGACATTCCTATGCTTATGAGGTTACCAAGAGAATTAGAGAGAACTGATTTTCTCACACCAGGAAACAACTGACTCCTCAAACCCTTTAGCTCAGAAAGGGATCATAAATGAAACTAAGGCCACATTTCTATATCAGCTGGTGAAACACTCATTTAGCAAGTTTTTTTCTCATGCTACTACTACAAAACACTATTACAGCAATGAAAAATACTATGTCAGCCCAAAATTAATCTATATTTACTGTGGACCTTCAGGGAACACCATACAGGGCCAGGAGTCCATAGGCAGGAAAAAAAAAATAGAATAAGGAACTCTTTGGGTGCTCTAATCCTGACTAGAAGGAGCAAATTCTACTACAACAACTCCCTCAGAAAGTGTCAAGGACAAGGGTGGTGAAAGAAAAGAAAAGGCAGAAGATGGCACAGGTGGTATTGAAAGTTAATGGAGAAAAAGTCAATGGACAGAGCATAGACAGAGCCAAATACATAAAAACAAAGAGCCAAGATAGCTGCCCCTCCAAACCCCCAATAGAACACAGGGGGCAGAGCTGGGAGGGGATGCCTCAGGGAAGGATCTTGTTTAATATATAGAAATATATACACCTATGCACTTGTAGTAATTCCTCAGTTCACAAATGTTTGCTTGCAAATAATTTGGTTCTCAAAACAAACATGATTGGCACATTTTTGCTTTTGTTCACAAACTCCATATCAGGTGACAAATATGACCATGCCTATTTTGCCTACACAAAAACACAAAGGCAGCCACTTTCTCAAAATCATAAACCAAATTAAATTTGTAAACCGAGGTCCTATTGCATATATATTTATGTTAGAGCCACTATATTGCTACACTAGAGGCACACATATCCTCTTACCAACCCTAAGCTAACCAGGGCTCCTCCTAACCAACCAGCTGCTCAGGTCAACAATTTCTGACATTGCCAGTGGAGCAGAAGACCCAATACTATTGTGGGCTTCTGGACTCTTTTAGAATATTTTGCTGAGTTAACACACCTATAATATTCAAATAACGGAACTTAACAAAAAAAAGGGGGGATACAGATGAATGTCCATTTTGTATCTGTGTATTCAAAATGGTTAGGATAGATATATAGTTGCATTCTCTTAATGAATAGAGGGATTTGTTCTAATAGTGTTTGTAAATAAGATATCATGTCTGCATCTTGTACAGCAAATAACCACTAGGAAGAATGTATGCAATGTGTTCATAATTGAAACTGTCCTACCAATTTGGTTTGAAATTGCCTTATTGCTATTTGTTTCTCAATAAAATTATGGGGAAAAAAAAGAAGTTATGTGAAGCCCACTGGAAGAAATGTGCACAAAGGTCCAGGGCCCAGCTGAATCCAAGGGCAGACCTGAGAGCCAATCATGTTGTGTCAAACGCTGAGTAAAGGGAAGAGCCCCTGGAATCAAATAAAAGAATCAGGACAAAGGCCCATATGTCTTCCATCTTTCTGGAAGCCCCTCCTCCCTCTCCAGGGAAGCCTTCTGTCTTCTGCTTTTTCCTCCTTACAAATGAAGTGTCTTCCTTTTCTTAAACTCCATCTTTTTAATTTGTTACTGATGTTGAGTTTGCAATCCTGGTTGGCTGGTCATCTCAGGGGGCAGAAGCACTAACAGGCACTTGTACACATACATTATTTTCTTTGATCAAAAAATGTTCTGCCATAAATTAATTTCCAAGAAAATTCTACAGACCTGACATTTATTTTCTACTTACAAATCAGGTTTTTGTCCTTCTTGCAATTCATGTTGTGGTACAGGATAGAGGGCTTCATAACTTCTTTTATCTTTTGATCCATGAATTGCAAATGAATTGAATTTTGTCACATTTGGTGGAAAATAATTCCATGGAAGATAAGCTTTGCCTTCCCATTTTGTCTCTCCTCTGGACACTTCAAATGATAAATCAAGTTCTTGCTACAGAAACAGACACATGAAACACAAAAGGTAAGTTCAGGCTTACGCTGTATGCACACACATATTATTTACACATGCAAGTGTTTTGTTTCATACTTTAATTTACTTACTTTCCACACCTTTCTTTTTCCAGAGAGTAAAAGCACTAAATGTTGTCCATAGCTGTTAAGATTAAGATTTCTTCATTAGTGTTTGGAACAGATGTTATTTTCTTCAGTATCTTTCATATCTGGTATGTATGTGTCCATAAATAAATTCTAAGTAATTAAACAATGCAAGAAAATACTGAGTAACCATAGGATGAGCAAGTGTGTTCAGTTACATAAAAGTGGTATCTTTGGATTTACTATTCTCAAAATAATTGTTGTCAAATACATAAAGATTCACACAATAAGACGGCTTTTTATACTGTCTGAATTTTTTTAGTTGTATAAAATAATTAGGCTAGCTGACAAAAAGTAGGAAAATGAGTGGAGAGATACAATATTTGGAATTTAATAAAATCACTTTCAAGATATAAAACAAGTTATAAAGGAGCTGGGACTAATTTCAGTCTAAATTCAATAAATAAAGGTTATTTCTACAAGAACACTATCTTGAGACTCATTAAGAAGACAGAAAACATGAAACACAAAACACAGATTGTCTAAAACTAGTCAAGAAGCCAAAGGTTTTAATCAGTATCTATTCTCTCACATAATTGTCTTTGACCTGTCTGTCTCTCTTGTGTTCCTATTTTCCACCATTAATGCCGACACCAAAATATCATTTACAGAAAACAAACACAGTATACTCTCAAAAAGAAATTTTAACAGAAGTATAAAACTGGGATTAGCATCAAAAGATTTCACATATTTACATGAAATGTATTTACTGTCTCTAGAAAAGATTATATCAAACATTTCTAGACAGATGATCTTTTGTGAGATTTTCAGGGAGGATTTTCTTTTAAGTATTCTGACAAAAGACAAGTTTTGTTTTTCCCCCTTAAAAGCCCTCTGAGTATTTTTACCATTATAATACATACTTGGGAATATCATAAGAGGAATAAAACTTCTCACAAATTAAAACAACAATATTTTTTCTTAGAAGTTAATTAACTGTTACAGGACTTGATTGCCTCAGTCACAATCATGATTTTTGATTATTAACTTTCTTGATGTGTATGAAATCAATCTACTTAGGGGATTTTGTTTGTTTGTTTGTTTTAGACAGGATTTTACTAAGGTGGCCTTAAACTCAAGGTAATTCTTCTGCCTCAGCCATTCAAGTGCTGGGATTACAGATGTGTCACTATGCCTGGCATTTTTTTTTTTTTTTTTTTTTACGGCCGGGGATTGAACTCAGGCCCTTGTGTTTGCCAGGCAAGCGCTTATTCCACTGAGCTATCTCCCCGGCCCCTTGCCTGCCATTCTAAAACCATTAATTTTATGTACACTATATATGTATGCAAGATGGCTTGGTAATTGTACCATGGATTTCTGGTCTATGGAAAGGAGCAGTTAATACTTTTAAAAAAATTTTTCCTCTTTCTCTCTTAATTTTTTGTAATTTCTTTTCTTTTTTCTTCTTTTTCCAATTTTGCATGCATATATCTGGTAATCTGAACAATGAAGTTCAAGACAACACTACGCAATACAATAAATACTGTAAAATTCATATTATTTTGTTTAGTGAAATTCTGTATTATTTCCATTTCTTACTATTTTATATTCTCTTTAAAATACAAAGATAAATAAAATTATATGCAATGGCTAATGTGTAGTTTCCTAGCAAAATATAATTATTTGCTGTCAGCTCATCACTTTATAAAAATACACTGATATTATTATCTAACAAAATTAAATCCAGGGATCACACTTGCAGGTTTTGGCAGATCCAATTCCTTTCCTGTGTGCTAGACAAGTTACAAATGTTTGTCCTTTCTCACATGTGTGCTAAAAGTGATCACATAATAGTTGAAAGGTTTACCTTTTATGAAAATCATATTTTTCAATAAAATATAACATGTTAATTGAAAGTTGACATGTAAATATATATAATTTTTTTTTTTGGCAGAACCAGGGATTGAACTCAGGACCTTGTGCTTGCCAGGCAAACTCTTATTCTACTGAGCTAACTCCCTAGCCCTTCTTCTTAAAAATAATTGTGAACATATTTTTCTATATTAGATTAGCAAAAAAATCAAACAAGGCATGTTACTTTTCTTGCTGAAACAAAACACCTGACACCCAAAGTTAAGGACGAATGGTTTATTTAGCTCACAGTTTGCAGAGCTTTCAGTCCATAATCAGCTGGACTCAAGGCAGGGTGGTTTGGCAGAGGGGCAACACAGAGAACTAGTTTGTGGCAAGCAGACAATAGTAAAGCAAACAAACAAAGGAAAAGACAAACCTCTTCCTGCCCCTTACATTGTATCTAGGCTACTGGGATTAGGGTGGTGCCAAACCAATCAGTGAATTGATTTAGTAATAACATACTCCTAATCCTAGCATTACACAATCTAGACTCAGCCATCTCTGAAAAATCCCCACCAATGACCATATGAGGCTTTGAAGGGACATTTAAACCTAAACCACAACAGAAGAGGAAATGAAAGGATATCTAAGTCCCATTAAGATCAATTGTTTTGGGGCTTTCAGACCACTGAGTATTGATATGGAGAGCTATTTAAATATATATGAAATTAATACTGACAATGTGCTAAGATTTGTAGAATTTATTAAACACTTCACTAATTTAAACATTTACTTTTTTTACATCTGTAAGAAAAACTAATTCATTAATCAGGTAAAGCAGGTTCTCCAAGGAATAGTTAAACTTCACAGAAAATCCAAGCTAGGATGAGTGAGCCTAGGATAATCCATATATAGTTTTTATTCCTGACACTGTATATAAAACTGAAATAGTACATACTCAAACATTAACAATGAATAAAGGAAGGAATATATGATATGCAAATATGTAATACATAATTACATAAAGTTTAATCTAAACTTTTAAAAATCTACTAAAATAAACATTTTCACAAGGTAGTTACATTTATTATACCTCTATGCTTCCTTTTTCTTTTGAATAATAGGAATGTAAATTTAGAAAGCAAACAATGAAAGAAATTATGATTTTCATTTTAAAAAATCT